CCCCTGTATTCGCCCCGCCAGCACGGCAGCCAGCACAATCTGCCTCTACACGTCGCACCTCTGCCCACCCAACTCTGCCCTGCCCCGCCCTGGCCTCTCAGCCTGCTCTATGCTTCCCCCTGTTCCCGCAGGGCCGGGCGCGACGGCGCCCCCGCCCTCAGCCTGCTCTACGCTTCCACCCAGGAGCTGCAGGAGGCCCGGCGGATGGAGCGGGGGGCGCGGCAGGGGGCGGTGGCGGGGGTGGCGGCCTACATCCAGGCGAGGCCTGCGGGGCTGCCGCGTGTGCTGCTGCCTGCCTTGGCTGTTTGATTGTGGTGCCTGCGCTGCTCCGGCTGCTGCCCGGGCTGCTGCCCGTGTGCCTCGTGCCGTCGAGGCTGGAGGTGGCGAGTTTGGAGCTCCAGAGAGCGTGCTGGGAGGCGTGGCGCTGCAGCCCCACACCCATGTGCCCACGCCAGCGCCGCCACCGGCATCTGTGGCGTGCGGTGCAGGAACCGCGGTGCCGGCGGCGGGCCCTGCTGGCGCACTTTGGCGAGCAGCGCTCAGGTGGCTGCTCCGCGCAGCGAGGGGAGGGTGTGTGCGATTACTGTCGGGACCCCAAGCGCGTGCTGCACTGCCTGGCGGTGCTGGATGGGAAGCTGGAGGCCGCGGCGGAGGCGGAGGCTGAGGCAGCAGCGGCAGCAGCGGCAGCAGCAGCAGCAGGAGCAGCAGGAGGCAGCGAAGGCCAGGGGGCGGCGGGCGGCGACCCTTTTGACCGCTGCAATGCCGGCTCGGGGGACGAGCGGCGGCGGGGGAAGCAGGGGCGGGGCGCTGGCTCGCCGGGCAGCGGCAGCTGCGGGGAAGGCAGCTGCGGGGAAGGCAGTGACAGGGAGGGCGGCGGCGACCCTGCCCCGGCGGCAGCCGTGGGCCCCTTCTCCACCGCTCGTGCGCTGGAGCAGCAGCGGCGGCCGCCTGCGGGCCGGCGGCTGGCGGCTTGGACGGCGCCCCGGCTGCAGGCAGCACCAGCAGCTGGCGGCGGGTCGCTGCCTGCAAGGCCGGGCGGGGTGTCCAGGGTCACGGCTGCGGCCAGAGGATTGGAGCCTGGGGCGGCAAACCGCGGTGCAGGCCCCGCTTGCGGCGCCGGTGCCGGTGCCGAGCCAGCCAGGCAGCCGCTGCGGCCGCTGCTGCCCAACCGGCTGAAGCGACCCTTGGCTACGGCGGCAGCCGGGGCCGCGCCCAAGCAGCAGCAGCAGCAGCAGGGAGGGCAGGCAGCCGGGCAGGCAGGGGAGCAGCCCTCGAGCCCCGTCGGTGCGGCAGGCCCGGGCGGTCCCTCTGCAGCGGGCAATGCTGCCGCCACCGCGCCCGTGCTGGGTGGCAGCGGGTCGCCGCTTGCCGGCACCGCCGCGCGCACAGCCCCAGCCGCGACAGCGGCAGCAGGGGATGGCAGCGCCACAGGGGCTGGCGGCGGCGGCGGCGGCCGGCGGCCGGTGTTCCGGGCGTTCAAGCCGCCGCGCAGGGTGGCGCAGGCATGAGGCTGGCGAGCGGAGCAGAGGGGGCACCGCGACTGGGCTGGGCTGCCTCTTGAGCCCAGGGAGAGAGCGGGGGTGTGGGATAGAATGCCTGTGGCCACGAAAGCCTTGTAAATGATGCCGGGGCACAGAAGCAGGCACATGCGAGAGCGGCGGCGGCGTACTGTGCGACGTGAATGCCTTGAAGGCGCCAAATGGCGCTCCTCGCTGTCTCTTGTCTATTCCAGTGCAACACAGAGCGTTCAGCTCCTGTTGGTCCATGCTGGCAGTACCTGCAGCTGTTTAAAGCTGCCAGGAAGCTGGGCCAGCAGCCGGATGCGGCTCTGGTGGCATGCAGAAGGCGCGGCGTGCTGCCCTGCAGCGCTCGCTGTCTTGGAGCGCTTGGCCAGTGTGCGGGCCCGCCTGCCGCGCCGCCTGCCCGCCTGCACTGAGCCCTGCCTGCCAACTGGACCACCATAACCACTTCCCGCTGTGTACAGCCATACACGTTGCAACATCAGTGCCGCCAGCTCTCTGTGATGATAGCGCTTCCGCGCGAGGGCGGCGGGCACGCAAGGAGGGACGCAGGCGGGAGCGGGGGCGGCAAGCGGGTACAAGCCGCTTGCAGTCGAATCGTGTGACATGCCTCGCCCGATTGAGCGGGTGGGAGGTGCACACACCGGCAGAGAGGGCAGAGAGGCACATGCTCGAGAAGGTCAATGGGCTTCGCGTTGCGGGGCGGTAAGGATTTGGCTGCAGAGAGGCCCACATGCCGGTGCAAGTTTAATGCGCAGCCCTGCAGCCGACTGCAGCCAGCAGTCTTCTTGCGCCTTCGCCACGCGGGCCGCCGCCTCTTCACCCAACGCCAAACTCCGGCGCACCCGCCTTCATCCTCCGCCCCCTCGCCTCCTGACACCAGGGAGAGCCGAGGATGCGCTCCTGGTGGCGCTGATCAGCGAGGAGCACAACCATGAATTCCCCTCAGCCTTCGGCCGTGGAGGTCCACGGGCTGGACGCCACCGTGTCGTTGCAGCAGCTTCGTGGCCTGTTCAGCCGCGTCAGCCCCGTGCTGCAGGCGGTGGCCGCCCTGGACTCCGATTCCCCCCAGGTGGGCTGTCGGCGCCGGTGATCGCCGGCCCGTGCTGCTGCACGGACGGTGCTGCCACCGGGTGCGCCGGGTTGGCGGCCGCAGGAGCCTCCTCTCGGGCCGCGCCCGGCGCCGTCCATCCCGGCCGCCGCCGCCGCGCGCTCGGCGGCTTCCCTCCCTCCCTGTCGCCCCAGCCCAGCCGCTGATGCCCATCCCTGCCATCCCGCCTGCCCCTGGGAGCAGGGAGTGGCCCTGGTTATCTTCTCCTCAGCGCACGCGGCGGCGACAGCGGTGGAGCTGTTTGATGGGTGCCCCCTGGGCACCTCCTACCTCCACGTCAAGCGGGCAGACAGCCTGGCTAACTCCCTCATCAACCTGCTGTACAGCCTGGAGCAGGCGAGCAGCAGCAGGAGGCCGGGGAGGGTCTGTGCCGCCGCCCACGCGCTGCTTTCCACCCGGCAGCAGCCGGCGCGCCCGGCCGGCGGCCTCCCTCCTGCTGCTGATCGCGTGTGCCGCCGTCGCCTGCCTGCCTGCCTGCCTGCCTGCCTGCCTGCCTGCCTGCAGCCCTCTGCGTCTGCCTCCACCGATGCCGCGCAGCAGCAGGCCACCGCCGCTTCCGCCTTCCTGGAGCAGCACCAGTTCCTGCAGCAGCAGCAGGAGCGGCGGCAGCAGCAGGAGCAGCGGCGGCAGCAGGAGGCCTGGGACGCCGCCTCCCAGGAGCAGCAGCGCCGCGCGCGGCAGCAGAACGACGCCGCAGCCGCAGCCGCCGCCGCCAGCGGTTGGGGCTTCGCCCAGCAGCAGCAGCAGCAGGTGGGCAACGGGGCGGCCGCCAACGGCCACGCGCCCCAGCAGAACGGCACCTCGGCTGCCGCCGCGCAGCAGAAGAAGCAGCTGGAGCAGCTGGAGGCAGATCTGTTGCACCTGCAGCTGGGCCAGGCCAAAGCACAGCAGGCACAGCAGGCGGCGGCGGCCGCCGCCGCCGCCGCCCACTCACAGGCGCAGCCGCCGCAGGCGATGAGCTGGGCCACGGCCGCCGCCGCCGCGCCCTCGCTGGCCGCGCTGGCCGGGCGGCAGCCCGGCGGCGGCGGCGGCACCGCCGCGGCCGCGCTGGCGGCCGGCA